TACCATTTCCTACTTCACTGTGTAGATGGTGTAAAAATAAATTACTTGTTTTGAAAAAATGTAAGCTTTAAAAGCAATTGCTGATTTATGTATTGGAATAGTTTCATCTGTTTTTAATATAATATTGTCAATTGAAATACATATATATCCTTGTGGTTCAGTAAAAACAAATTTCAATTTACAATTGTTGATTTAGTTATTAAAAGTGTTATTATGCTCACCTCGGCCGAATTGATTACTAAAAGCTGCGTCATGGCACGGATGTAGTTCTCTGTACTCTGGTGTTCCTCAACAATTTCTCGACATAACTTTGCAGACACCTGTTAAGATGAATACAATAAAAGCAAAAATTTTAATTCTATCAAAACTGAATTATATTTAAAGAAATCCATATTTCTGTACTAGTACTTAAAGGTATTTTCAGTTTTCATGAAATGTTTACACAAGGCTAAAAAACTTTACTTTTACTGTTAACATGCAAGCTGGGTTTACGCAATTATGAAAAGGAAAATTCAAAAGACCTACCTCTAAAATGATCTCTTCAACAAGCAGATGGGAAATTCTCTCTTTTAACAGGTGTAGTTTGTGTTCGTTAACTGTCCTTTCTTGTTGCTCTAAAACACGTCTTCAAAGAACTCAAATTAAGTCAATAACCATTGCAACCATGTATGGTTTTACTTTTACACTCAATTAAGAGTATGATACTAGGGATGATACTAACATAGAAATCAGGACATGTGGTGATGGTGTTATCAAGTGGTGTGCTAAAGTGGGCTATACCATATTTTTGTGGGGGTGCAAAAAGTAAATTTTCACAAAACAAAGGATACTCGACTTTCAATCTATCTTCCTTCCACTTTCCGGGTTCAAAGAGCAATATCCCATCAGCCACCTCAACCAAGATTTCACGCACCTGCCAAGTATTCAGAAACCATCATTTGTTTGAGTTGAGAGAATTAAACCAGATTAAACAATGTAGCAACAATAAAATCGTACGTAGCAAATATTATATCGTAGCATGGCAGGATGAAAATGTGTGGCAACATTTTAACAAAGTATTATGCAACAATGAAGCATCAAATCAAATTGTAGCATGATGCAGCAATGTGACATGGAAACCGGATACAAGATTATTATATCATTGTAGCATGGTATGACAGTGTAACATGTAAAGATGATGTGATGTTGTATAGTAGCGTGATGTGGCAATGTGACATGGAGTCATGATACAAGATTATTATATTTTAGCATGGTATTACAATGTAATATGTAAAGATTATATGATGTTATATAGTAGCATGATGTGGCAATGAGACATGGAGTCATGATACAAGATTATTATATTGTAGCATGGTATTACAATGTAATATGTAAAGATTATGTGATGTTATATAGTAGCGTGATGTGGCAATGTGACATGGAGTCATGATACAAGATTATTATATTGTAGCATGGTATTACAATGTAATATGTAAAGATTATATGATGTTATATAGTAGCATGATTTGGTAAAGTAACACAGAATAATAAGGTAGCGAATACATTTCAGTATAATGTTGCATTGTAGCATGGAATCAAGATATGGCAACATTATATTATAGTATGATTTACTGTAGCAACATTGCTTAGAACCCAAATATAACATTTTTTTTTTTTTTTTTTTTTTTTTTGTGGCAATGTAAAATGGAATCATAATATAGCAATATTGTAGCATGGCTGATTGATATATGGTAAACACCAGCTCAAGAGTTCTCCTCACCATGTGGTACGTCTGGGATTGGTGGGGCTCATAAGACCAGCCCTCCAGATGCTGAGGATTGGTTCGCATCATGTGAACTTCATGGCTATAAAAGAAATATATACTGTAGCTCAAATACTAAGAAAAAGTAGTAGGAAAGAAAGCAAAATGAGGAACAAAGCAATAGAAATTGGTTGAGGAAACCAATACTACTATCAACATCAATAGTGTTAGTATGTTGATACTAGAGAAACAAGTAAATGCAGAAAAAAAATTTCAAAACTGTACATGAAAATTTTGATGGATAAAGAACTTAAAACACAAATGTACACCACCATCTCCCAACCCCTGTCAGTCATGACTCGTCACATAAAAGAGAAAACATACTTCTTTTTTTCTAAACTAATTTTGGGCATTATGTCCTAAATCACTTCAGAATATCTTAAAATGTCTCAAAATCCAAAATTGTCCAGTTTTTCAAGGCAGGCAAAAAGCCCACTAACTTCACACCAGTCAAAACCTGTTGTTCAGTTTTTGTTCATTACCGTCTTCTATCTATATCCGCTTGTAGCTTGGGAATCTTTGCTTCGGTCCTGATAGCGTATGCCTCCAATTCGTTTGGGTGCATTGTACTTGGCTCATCAAGGAGCTTATACTCCCCACTAGAGGGCACAATTGGATCTAAGATAAATAAGATTTGTAAACAACTTTTAATAAGAATAATAAATTGCAATGCATTCTGGGATAGGATTGGATTAGATTTGATTTATTCGGTGTAAACACCAAGAATAGCCCACGAAAGTCTAGAAGAGGACTTATTTCCAGTGGGCTCCTTCTGGTGGTGATTGTGCAGTACACTAGAAGACAATCTCCTACTGTGTTCTTTAACGTGCACATGAGCCAAAAATGCACACGGGACCAACGGCTTAAATGTCTCATCCGAAAGACAGTGCGCTATTGTAACTTGTATTTCATCCCTCCAGCTTAAATACAAGGAGAGGCAGCGATGGGAATTGAACTGGGGACCTGGAGATCTCCACGGTTCAGCATGCACGCAGTGGCTACCACCAGATTAGCCGACTGAGCTAAGCTGCTATTTTAGTATCAGTTGTATGATAATACGGAGTTTTTGACTGCACGATGACAGTAGAATCTACAACATAAAGACATCACAGATAATATATCAAGAAATTATGAATGAAGAACACTTTATTCTTTTAAATTGCCATATGAAATTTACCCAAGACATTGTAATTAGGAATTCTCCATTTATCTTTGGACCGTTGCATCTTCTCTGTCTGCTCATGCAGTTTTTCTCTTTCATCTTCTAGATTTCTACGGTCTGTGCGGAAAATTGCAAGTTCATCTTTTAAATCCTAGGAAAAAAATAATACCATTAAAAAAACAAAACAAAAACAGACAAAACATCTTATTAAAAAATGTAAACAGTAAAATTATGGTAATAAAAAAATAGAAACTAAAATTAAAAATAATAATTTTTTTTTTATCTAAATAAAATTCAATTTCACTCTTCAAATTACATATTACAAAACATTTAATATACTGTAATTGGTTCATTAATATATAGACTAAATAAGTTTGAAACTTTTCAAATATTAATTCAACTAAAGGCTAGATGAAATTCTTCCAAGTAAAACATTTAAGTAATATTTTGTTTAAGATTAAATCTTCTTAAATGATTTGTCTTTTTCATAAAATATGTTGAAATTTTACCTTCTTTCTTTTTGCTAGGAGATCTTTCAGGGCATTTTCATTTTTTAAACTATTTTCACCTGCTGAATATATGAAAATACAATATAATTATTTAAACAATGCAAGTTGGTTTGTCACAACCAGGATCACAAGTGTACATTTTATGGAGACACCAGACCATTAGAATATTCATTGCATCTCTCCATAAACCACCCCAAATTCCATAAACGTTTCTTATTAACTCATTCAGGAACACTTCAAATATTATTAATCTTTAACTTAATATTCCCCACGTGTCCGTGTCCATCTCATCTCATTTCTATTAATTTTTGCCACTTCCAAGAACCCTTCCCTCTCCTGTAAACTAGTCTTTACACTTTCCATATGAACCTTTTTCTATCAATTACTACCGTAAATGCTCGTATAAAGCGATAGGACCTACGTCATCGTAAATGCTTGTGTCTTAATTGTGATCTATTCATTTTAACACTGTATACATTGTATATAAAACCCTGTTTCACAAAGTATTTCATTACACACAGGGTAATTATCGATCGATTATTATCCATCAAGCGTCTTGGCGCATATTCGAGGGTGGCGCTTAGCGAAAAAAAACCCATCCCACTTCATTGTTCACTCCAACATCCAAGCACCCTTCCCTATAATCCCCTCCCACTCCTATCAACTCTCTGACCAGGGAGTTGTTATTTAGAAGGAGTCACAACAGAATCCTCTCTTTTGATCAGTCTACTTTTCCGACAAGATAATGAAAGCAGAGAGGTAGACAGCGACGAGGTCCAATTACCGAATATGAGCATGCGCAGTAAACCTTCTTATGCTTGTGACCAAGAATTTAACGCTTGAGTAAACTTGTCATACTACGCTTTGTTTACAAACCAGGGAATGACCTGAGAATCAGCGATTATAGTCGCCAAAAAGCATGGCAACTAGAGAGAGTGTCAGTTATCAACTACACGCTAGCATCAAACCGATACAACAAATATGCCCATATCATTTCCCTGCTACGAAAACATGTTCAGTTTGAACTAAAATTACGTTTCTGTACGAAACTGTAAGAAAATGAGACATAAAGAAAATGATAGTTAACAAGTTGCATAAACTATTTTTCCTGGTTATAAAATGGAGATATGTGCGGAAAATATAAAATATAAGCTTTAAAAGTTACCAAAAACCCATGAAAATTACAAATGACGGTGTACGAACAAACACATATAGCTCCACTTCAAATAGTCGTAACTTTTAAATGAAAAGGCAAATTTTTATGCGGTTTTTTTGTAAATTATTCTTCGAAAAACTCTCTTGAGATGCAAATTTATTGAATAAAAAAAAACTCTGCGCATGCTCTACTGGTCATTTGTCACGAAATTATTTTCTCTACAAAGACAAAATTTTAACAACTGAGGGCGCAAGATCGTCAGAAATGTACCCTATTGACAAAAGACAGGCAGCTAGTCGCGGTTCTCTTTGAAGATTCAGTAGACCGCGCTTCGCTCATTGGCTGTAGATAAATGTGTTGTGACTCCTTCTAAATAACAACTCCCTGCTCTGACTTTCCCGAACCTTGTTGGGTTACATACCAGGATGAATGGGAGAAGCTCTCCTGTGGTTTAGATGTGGTCCCTCTTTGTATCCACCAAGCTCAGAGTTTGTTGTGCGTAGTCTGTGTAGTAACTGGGCCTGGTTCTGTAATAGTTTATCCCCTGGGGGTTGTGAGTAACCTCTGGGGTCCATCTATTGAGATGTTCTTTTTCCTAGGTAGAGCCTATTTCATTGTCTTTACATCAATGAGGGCCTGGCCTGAGCCCAGGGATTTCATTTTTCTGAAAAACAAGATAAGAATAAGATGATCATTACTATTTTACTTTATGACTTGATTTGATGTGATAACCCATGCGAGCCTAAACCACAGACCCTTGTAGGCCAGGTTCAGTAGGTCTAGCAAGGGTTTGGCTTGCCTAGGCTACGCCTAAACACTGGCCTAGTACTAGGCTACGCCTAAACACTGGCCTAGTACTAGGCTAGGCCTGCCACTGGGTCCACCGGCTCCTGTTTTGGAGAACCCATTCAACTATGCAGGGCCCATAAACAACAAGACCAAGCTTTCTAGGCTAGGCTAGGCCTAGTTCTGATTGTGATGACGGTCAACTGTGGGTGTAAACTAGTGCACAGAATCTAATAACACATCATAATAGTAACGGACCTACCTACTGGTCAAAAATAGTCATAAATATTGCACTTTTTACGAGTTTTAATTCCTAATATTCTACTTTACTTTGTTTTGTTTTCTGTTGATATGGACGCTGTGATTTATTTTAACACCGCCCTCTGTTGTTCACATTACGACAGATACAGACCATAGAGATATAATAAGAATTGTTTAATAGCTCTATGATACAGACACAGTAGTTGTAAAAATTATTCTCTCTTGACAAAAGATGAAAACCTCATTCGAAAAAAAGTATTTTTATTATTATAAATTCATTGTTCACAGTCCTATATTTATATTTACAAATAGATAAATAATAATAATAAGCTATACTATGAAGTTCCTATTTTGAGCTGCATGAAAAAAGTGTCTCTTGGGCCCCGCTCTCTGGCAGGATTCGAACCTGCATCTTTGTTATAGGCCCTGTATAGGCCCCAGTACTGGTATAGGCCACATAATAGGCCTACCTTGTGTTGTTCAATTGATTGATGATTGAAAACGCCTGTATTGATTTGTTGAAGATAATGTTACACCTGTAATCATTTATCTTGTTGAGTACACAGGTAAACAATACTATAATAGAATTATTCTTGAGTCATATTTGCCAAAAACATTCCAATACCAAAAAACACTAGGCCTAAGATTTTAGCCAGAAAGCACCCATCACCAACTTCCAACCCAAAAGGACGAAAATATGTGAAAGTTTTACTGCAACCATAAGTAAGAATCTTCTAATGAAATTAAATATTTTTATAAACGATACTTTAGAATATTTTGTTATAGGCTTCTTTTATCGTTTGAATAAGGCCGAATTGGATTTTAATTTGATACATAATTGCAGGTCATTTGAAGTGTTTCCTAAGTCCTATATATCCTAGGCCTATATATTATGAGAAAATTCTATTGTTTTATTCTTTATTTAATTGTGCTTTTGTATTAAAAGGCACAGTCTGCTACACAGAATTACAAAATGCAAACCACTAATGTAGCAACTGGTGGCGGTGCCAAAGGTGGGGGAATAGCGCCCCTGTCGGTCACCACTCGGACCAAAGATTCTTTTAATTTTTTTTTATTATAATACATTCAAAAATTATTGCCTGGGGAAAGATCCTACCAGGGCTTTCCAGGCCCTTGTCTAAATCTGTCACTTCCCGGCACTCTTCTCTCACAATGTATAATAGCCTAGAGAGACCATTGGTAGTAGTAACTTCATTCATTGTAAACAGAAATTCATATTTTCATATTACCAGTAAATGTATATCTATCTGTCATCATCTCACAAACTCATCACTATGTCATCACCAAAAACTTAATTACGATCACGATAAATGAAAGCAGCATTTTTTTCAGTTTCATAGTTCATTTTTATTTTATTAATAATAAGGTTTATTTCTTATATTAATTTCATACAATCTGTTCACAATCTTGTCAACATACATTCTTTACAGCATTCACAAAAAATGAAAGTTCATCGTCTGAACAGACCTTATAATATATTACAATTAACAGTGTGAACGCATACTTAGGGCAATGAGGTATGGGTAAGCTTATAGGATACCTGGAAGAAATCTACCTAAAAGAAGAAAGAATTTACTTCATAAAATACAAGTGAATGGTTACCGTACATTGTATTTATTGCTTTTTTTGTCGTGGTACCACGAATTGCCAAAAAGCTGTACACACAAAAACGCAACACTAATCACAAAATCTGTCGACAAATGATAACAGTAAGAAGAACCTATTAACCAATACTGTACGGAGATTACTTGGCAGTGATGTGTGACATTCAAATTTTACAGATGTGTCTGCTTGTTATATGTAAACAAAAGTGACATTCTGTCACTCAAGTTTCCATCACTGCCTTGGCATATGGTTTAGCAACATTTGCAGCTCAAGTTAATAATACTGTTGCTCAGTTTGAAGATATTTTGTAATATGCTCAGTGTTGGCGCCAGAGATTTCCAGGGGTCAAATGTTCCGAAATGCTGTAAACACCTCTAAATGCTTCAAAATGGCAGCACTTTAAAACTGTAAAAATGCTTTTTTAAAGGAGTGTTCCCAAAAGAAATGATTGGTTACTTTACGAGCTGGTGTTTACATAGCCACTACACATGAAAAGGCCTAGACATCACGCCATCACAGACAACGATTTCCGTTGATTTTATTACACTGCAGCCTCTTAAGATATTACGAATGAGCATTAGACTGACAGTGCAAGCTTCATTTTAATAGGTTGAACATGTTGAGTGAATGCAAGACTGAAAATAAAAATTGGGCCAGATAAAAAGGAAAAAATGAATTAACATAATAATATTGAATGCAGTCATTTAATAGAAGTCTCTAATACAATTCTCCTCTTTTTGTGGATTTACATTTTTTTTTAATTCATAAAAACCCAACTCCAGACTAAAATTGGTGGTACTCCGTAAACAAATTGGATCAAAGATAACTCCACGCGTAGTGACACGTTAAATCAGCGTGGTCACTGATGCATGCAATTAAAAAGTTCTCAGCTAATAAAGAATTATAATAAATCTTAATCTAATCAATATTTATGGATAAAGTTCGCTAAATCAAGCTAACGAATTACACTTGCATAGACATACGTACATATATTATATCATTATTACCATTTTATACAAATCTTAAATCCTTCGTGGGAATCTGTGGCAACAATCACCCTAGAAACACGGATTGATGACATCATCAATCACAATAAACTTATTTACTCTATGCAAGAAATTCTTATTAATGCCATATCTTCGTGTGAGATTAAATTAAATTTGAAAACTTTTGTGTCTGCCGTTTTACATGCTTGAATAAAGAAACATTTGATATCATCATTCTAATATCAACCCCTGTTTGACACGGATGAATTATCATGCCAATAAACAGTTGGTAATCTGATAAATTATCTGCACTTTAACATCATTGTCACTTTCTAAATGTAATAATTTGTTATTAGCATAGTCTTTTATCATTTTAAATCTTGTACATCATTATGGTTTTTGTTCTCAGTATACAAAAGCATTCGATTTGTTGAGTATTTAGCAACACAAACAAACCTTAAAAACTGCTAAGGGGCTGTCAGCGAATTTGACAATCCTTAAACTACTCATTAAGTTATTTCAGGGAAAAAAAATTGATTGAACCTATCATAAAAAGCATATACTTTGAATATATTATAATTTGTGAATGAGAAAATCAATATTTATAACAATTTGAATGAGCCAATAAAAATGTATCATTATTTGAATTCCTCAAACAAAATATATTAAAAATTGAGAATAAACTAATCAATATTCAATCAATAACATTTTGAATATGTTTTCCATAATCAATTATTTGAATGCCTCATACAAAATATGTCATTAAAATTGTGGAGAAACAAATCAATATTTATGAAATTTTGAATGAGCCAATCAAAACATATTATACATTTTGAGAGCCAACCAAAATACATCATAAAATTTTTTTTAAATGAACCAATCAAAACATGATATAATTTAATGAACTAAAGTACATGATTAAACTTTGAACAGGTTATGAGCCATCACTGCAATGAATATATTTGAATGAGCCTATCAAATTACATGACTGAGTTCAGTCAGCCAATCATGATATAAAATTAAAATCAACCATAATTTCTTCAGTTTTTTTTATATTAAAAAATGCTCCATCATCATTAGCCCAGTATTTCCCAACAGGTGAGTTCATTAGTTGTGGTATGTGTGTTGGCAAATAAACATAATTCCATGCAACAAGTTTCAAAAGACATGATAATAATCTTAAATTCAATTAAAAACAGAATGAAAAATTCCCTTTTTACATAAAAGTGAAAAGTGATGTGAAAACTAAATGTAACATAGAATACTATATCCATAATCAATGGCTATTATTACTAGTGAAACATATTAACCATAATTTTTTATTAAAAATAAATTATATTTTACTCTAAAATCAATTCTTTTGTTTGTTTCCAGCTAATTTTCACACACTCATACACACGCATAATAAAAAAAAAATAATTGTGAAGTCTACAATAAAGTTTAAACAGACTCCTTAAGTTTCTATACATTTTCTTCAAATCGAAAAGGGAAATTCCCTAAATGACGTAATTGGAAGCTACCATTATTATACATTTTTTTTTCAGGTAATTTCTTACATATAAAAAATATTGAGTTAGAAATGATGACTACACATATTTTACTCTGGACCTGAATACCTTTCTCTTCCCACAATACACTTGGTTTACCCATAATGCACATGCATTTTCCACATATTATACAGTCACATAAATCCTCAACAACTAATCCACACCTCATAAAAAAATCTTCCATATTCTCTTCCCTTACTTTCATGTAGTTTTATTTTTTCAGTAACTTAGGACAAACCATATTTTACTGAAAAAAATTGTATGCAAATCCTACGTCAAATGTACAATTCACTTTCCATGTTTAACATAACTGGTACTACCAGATCTTGTACCACTTGGATGGTACCACCATGGTACTCTTATAATACCGCCACGGTACCACCAACTACCTGTATTAGATCTAGGCCGGTGATAGCTGCCAACAACAGCAATATCAATGGTGAAATTCTTTATGTAATCAATAATTTTAAGCTTTGAATATTTTTTATTAATCATCGCATATCAATTAACAGATATAAATTTGATTTTTGTTTCAATATAGTGTACTTGTATTAGACACATTGGTTAAAATAAACAAATAACAGTGAATTATTTTTTGGACGAAAAAACTAATTTTGGTTGGCACCATTCCAAAGAAAACGAAGAATAACTTCTCAACCTGATTGACCTGCACCATGACAAATTAAAAACAGCGCCCTCTATGTTTAATATACCCAGCTTACTGGCACCCATTGCGGTGTGGTGCATATCTCTTCAATAGCAGATTCCAATATTCGGATGGTTTCGTCAATGTCATTGTTGATGATTGTCAGGTCGAAGTAATGGCCGTAGGCTTGTTTGAGAAGGTCGGATTCTTTTGCAAGTTTTTCTAAACTACTGTCACCCTGCAAAGAAAAAAGATCAGAGTTATTTAAAAATTAGAGTTTTGAAAAATAAATTTTGGGAAGTATGCTAAAAGCCATGAAAGATTGATGTATGGACAGATTTTGCAAGTCATGGTAGATAAGAGCAATAACTGCCACCAACTACATCAACATACTAGAAAGGGACATATGGATGTCTCATGCAGAATAGAAAAAGCTGGAAAAATTCGATTGGCCATCACAATAATAAAAAAAAAACGATTAAAGTAAGCAAATAAAATAAAGATATACCTCTCCATTAAGATTAGAAATAGTTGGAGCCGCAATGAACACAACAAATGGTGCAAATTCAGCACATCGAAGTATTTTCAGAGCCTGAGAGAAACAAAAAATCAAATATGTACTATTATAATTACATATCTACATATATTTAAGAGGCCTGGTAAAAATCAAGGTTTTTTAAAACTACTGGGAAAGCAGAGTTGACAATTTTTAAAACCTTTTACCATCTCTTTTTAAAGATTAAAGATGAATGCATTAATTAAATGATAATATTTAGGATTACAGTATTCCAATTAATTTGTGAATAATCATGAATAAATATATTTAATTATTTATATTATTGTACCATAATATTGTAATATGTACTATATGAATATTTATGTTTTATATGAATATAAGTGTTTTTAGTCATATATTCATGCATATCTCTGTGAATAACCATTTATATTTATATATTATTAAAATTTTTATGTATATTTATCAAAAAGTCATGCCTTCATAGAATATATTATATATAATAGATACAGAGAATATTTTGTCATTCTTAACGCGTCCTACGAAATTCTTACGAGACAGCACTAGTCCGTGAATTTGTGAACAAGATCGGAGATCTAAAGATGCAATTTCTACCGTGCATCAATGGCGGCGCTGGATCTCAAAGAGATTCTTAAATAATATAAAGTTAAAAGGCAAATGGGGAAATATATATATATATACTTTCATATGGAGGCTTCTACTTGTCTGCAAATGTTCATGTTTATGTTTATGTTAATGTATGTTTATAAAGACAATAAAGTATCTTGTACCGTGCAAGGGGACACTCGTTAATGTGTGTTGTAAAATGTATTAATTTCACAATGTTACTTTAAGAGAAGATGCCGTTCTTAATATTGAGAAAATAGGAGTGTAGGAATATCATGTTATCTTGACTACAACAGTCTGGAAGTAACATGATAAGGATCAGTTTCAGTAAATTGAAATATAGACAAGAGGAACATCAGTCACTAATACATCTGAGATTTATGTGTTATCTCTTAATGTTTTTAGTGACAATGAATAAGTAAATGAGATAATTTAAATACTACTAATATTCTATCGTTATTATTTTACTATTATTATTTGTATTTTCTCGGTTAGAAATTGACACTTTATTATATCAACAATATTAAATAACAATAACTTAATTAATAACTCCATTAAAAATTCCACATATGTTTCAAAAATCCAATGAGCTTGCATTTATCCTTCCATGCTTATTAAAAATACCAACATCCTGAGCTGAACATTCTTGATTGTTGGATAATAAATTATTGATTTAATTGTTCACCTGTGGTTCTACGTCTAAGATAGCCATGTGTCCGTTGCGATGAATATCTCGGATTGTTTCCAATTTGGTGCCATACATAGCGTCCTCGTGGGTTCCGTACTCTAAGTACTCATTGTTTGCGATGTCTTTCATCATCTCGTCTTGAGTGACAAAATGATAATTCTTCCCGTCCACTTCCTCCACCTTAATTGGTCGTGTTGTATCTACAAAAAAAATTAAGTTTACAGTTAATTATTGAATACTGTAGACATGTTCACTTCTTGGGTGCTGTTCCAATATTAGAATGCTCTGTGGTTAATTTATTTCTTGATGCAAGAGTATAATACAGAGTGGCTTGTTATATCAACATTCATTATTGGATAGTTGTGTTTCTCGGCGCTGTTCTGATGTTGAAATGCTCTGTGTAGAAGAGACCTTAATGCATATGAATGGTACAGAGCGTAGTTTATAGTAGCTAGTCATTATTGGATAGTCATGTGTCTCTTCGGCGCTGTTCCAATGTATTACTCAGAATGTGTAGTTTAAGGTTGCATTATGCATCTATTTTTATACAGTGAAGTACATAGTAGTTCCTTATATCCAGATTTAATTTTGGATGGTTGTTTTTCTCTTAGGCGCCGCCCTGATGTTTGCTCTGTGAGGGGTAGCCTAATATATATATTTACATAGCAGAACAGTTAATAGTGGTTTTCTTTTCAGCTACATTTATTACTAGATAATTGTTTGTTACTTTGGCACTTCTTAGAATTTAGCTTTGTGCTTTAAGATGTGTTCACACACACTATTATATATGGGTGTAATATGACATTATAATGTCTACATATGATATCCAACCATAGATATTTGTCATTGAAAATTCAGTGTTGACGGTATGATGTAACCTACAGACACACTGAATGACATAGAGCAGGGGTGGGCATCAAACAATTAGTGAGTGGGCTAAAGTGAATTTTTGATTGAACACCAAGGGCCACACCCAAACTTTGATGTTTCCAATGCACTTTCAAAAAACCTTCACGCACTCCTTTTATACCACCTTAATCTCAGTTTTAATATTACTTATATATATAACAAGGTTTTTTTGTAGCCAAAAATGGTTAGTGGGCCGCACACATAGGGTTTTTAATTCATTTTCGCAGGCTGCAAAAAAAATTACACTCGCACCACACTTTGCCATAAAGTATAGTTTGTAAATATTTGTTTTCAGTACATTATCATCATCATCGTTTACAATCTGTAATCCCTGCATGTGAGGGTGAGACTGTTAAAGTTGTACTCAACTGCAAGTTCAATATCTAATGTTTATTTATCATTCATTTACCAGTTTGAGGAGGGGTGTTGGGTAACTTACGTGGGATAGGGTAAGCGTATTTGTCTGGATGGCTTGTGATGAGCGTGTTTTTGATGTGTCGTCTACCCACACCATGTGCTCCTAACAGCACTAGCGTTTTACGCATAAAAGCTGGAAGGCGTACCACCTCCTCATAAGTCACAAGGTCTAGTTGATCAAAGACTGATGAAAAAAAAAAAAATCAATCAAGTTAGTCAATCAATCTACCTATCAGTCCATCAATCAATCATTCCAGTTAAAAAAGGCAGTCACCAATCAATCAGTCAATTAATAATTAGCAAAAAAAGTTTTTCTCCTGTTGCTACCACATATTTTGACCAAAATTTATTCTAATGCATTCTATTTTACAATTATATAGCTTTCTTTTCTTCAGAATAAAGAACTAGCAACCCACAAAACAAATACACAGCCCAACCTAAACAGATAAACAAACTTCCTAAATATAGGAAGGAGTGCAAAAATTTGACATCCAATGAAACAAGTGAAGATAAACAATAAATAGGGAAAAACCAATGAGGGCAAAAAAGGAAAAAATTTAAACAAAAAATTTTTTAAGAAGGGAGTGAATATTTGGTTCACACATGCATGTATCAGATGCAATATTAAGAGGTTGTGAAGCGAACATAAGACACAGCTACTCTACTGTTTTCTAATTCTCCCTCTTATAAAAAAAGTTGAGTAAAGTTAGTTTTCATAGATGACAGATAAATAATGTGTTGAGGCAGACTTACCTGCATTATGTTTAGCTAGGTACTTGTCACGGTATTGTTTCTTCTTTTTGCCGAACCACGTGCATGACGCCTGGTGCTCTTTCTTGGCCCTTTCAATTGCTAGACATGCTACCCTCCTACAAAAAAAAGAAAAGAAAAAGAAAACATATTCAATGCCTGTTAAAGGTACCAATCCTAGATAATAATAATGAAAATATTAAGTTTCTATATACTACAGAACCCTTTCTTTGGACACCTGCGATTAAGGGGAAACCCCTATTTAGGGGAAAAACACTATTATGGAGGGAACTCTATTAAGGAGGCACCCCTATTAAAAGGACACCTGTTTAACGATGATTCAGGATACATGCCCTATTAAAGGGACACTTTTATGGTCCTAAAGGTGTCCCCTTATTAGAGGTTCTACTGTATAGCACCTCATGTTGAAATTAGAAATAGCTAATAGAACTAATAGTATGAATGTTACTCCAAAAATTGACAAAAGGCCATTTTATTCAACATTTTGCTTTTATTTAAGTATCATTAGGAATATTATGTGTTACTAGCATGTACCCGTGCTCCGCACGGTGTTGAATGAGTGGGGAAAGGTGGCGATGTATATTGTTGAATGTTATGGGAAGTCGAGGAGGCAATTGTTGTGAATGTTATGGTTAGCATGTTCCTATATTTCTAAAGGATGTCTTTGTAGATTATGTCTTAGTAGATGAGTATCTTTGCTGGATAGTCCTTGTGAGAAATTATTGTCCAGTTTGATGTAGGGTGGGTCCAGAATTTTCAAATGGGAAGTGGGAAGGGCCACACAACAGTTTTAGAATGAATAAGTGAGTAGCACATAACATAATATGCACTGAAATTTCAAAATTTAGTGGCAAAATGGGAAAGCATGTGCCCACCCCCTCCCACCACCACCCCACTGGATCTTCCCCTGCTGATCTGCTCACAAACCCCCCCTTACTAGATCCATGAAGATATGCGGTGAAGTTATGCGGAGGCGATTAGCAGAATTAATATATAGATATGTATTATTCATGATGATGCTTAAATAAAAACGAAACATTGAATAACATGACTTCATATACTATTTGTACTTAAACTCAGTGCAAATCCTAATGGTTTCTAATAGAACTAAGTAAATGAAAATAAACTGTGCACCTAATAAATTATCAAAATATTGACAAAGAAGAAAAACAAATATCAATTACTTCACTGGAGAATGTGGGCATAACTATTATGTCAATGAGTACAATGACAATAAATATTTGGCCTTGAGTTCTTAAAAATAAATTCCAATGAGTCCACCAGGGGGAGGGTGGATAAAAGATGTAACATTGATGTAAGCGAAGTCATTAAGTAACTTGATATCCACAGCAACTAGGGAGGGATGACAATAGATAGAACACAGACTATGTATTAATGTATAGTCTGTTATGTCCGATTTATAATATATTTGTATACATTTTCTATATGTATATTTGTAGCCATTATAGAAGTGTTTGTCATCTGTTGACTTGCTTCCATCACTTCTGTATATTTGTAAGAAGTTTATCAAATTAAAAAAAATAAATAAATAAATAAATAAATAAAAAATAGAGATTATTTTTTTCCCTACCATTCTTGAAGCTCAGGTGATGGGATAAGTCCTGCGGGTCCATTGAGTGGAGCGCCCTCTTTACGGGCTTGCCACCAATTATGATCATCTTTACTAATAATTTGCAAGATTTCCCCACATTTGAATTGTAGGCCGGCTTGTCGGCATGGGATCAGGTCATCGCTCGATGGGTTATATTCAAATTGAGACTTAACATATATCTAAGGAAGAAAATAGTTAATTGTTATTATTATGATTATTGTTATAATTATCTTAATATAATCTTAACATCAGTATGACTGTCATTGCTACCTGTGTCATCTCTCATCTGCATAACCTTACATATTCTTTTTCTTCACTTTCTTTATCATTACTTTCATTATAATCACTTATTTTTCTTACCATACATCTTCTTTATCGTCATTTTCTTCATCATTCTTTTCATTATCATCACTTCTTTCAGTATCATATTTATCATCAGTTTTTCATCATTACGGTATTTTCATTATCATCCCTGTCTTCCTTATCATACATCTGCATTACCAATTTACTCATCTGTTATCATTATTACTATTATTATCACTTACATTATCGTCATCATCATTGTAAACATCATAACTATTCTAATCATTATCTTATTCCCTCTGTACATTTATTATGTTTTTTATCATCATCACCACACCTCTCTAATCTCCCTTGAGGTCTGCGCCATTGACAATCATTCTTGGGCCTCAAAAACCTGATAAACAAAGCAGTTATGTTTGGTTGCTTTATACAGAAGAGCCGGGAAAGGAAAAGGGCATCTGCTAATAATTTAATCTACAACTCTTAATTGGTACCGTGACAACCTTGCAGGCACATATCATATAAAATATCTATTACTACTTCATCTATTATTTGCAAAGAATGCGAGTAAAAAACATGAAAAATGGTCGTAAAACATCATTGGTAATTTAACTTTATCATCCAGAACGAACCTGTATTATTTGTCATTCAACATAAATATCACTCTCATCATTCAAGTCTGGATTCAGCATTCTTAATTAATATAATCAATCACACAATCAATCAATTATACACTTATATGGATGCAGATATAGTGTTAAAAAATGGAGAAAAAAATGCTATTTAATGTATAAAAATAACGACACACAAATATAATGATATTGATAACACATAGCAATATATGGGTAAAAATACCAACACCACGCAAATTGCAAAATGCACGCAGGACACAATTTTGCTGTATCCACACTGCTAGGCAATTATACAAATGAACAGAGAAAAAAACAGGTGAAACTTTGTAATATATGTAAATGAAGTCAATTCCAGGTGCTAAGATTGTTGGGAAAAACATATGATGCATATATGACACGTGTGCTAAATGGATTGCTATGAACACATACAACACGCGTGCTATATGCACCATATGGAGATATACAACACATGTGTGAGGCCATATAAATGCATTAGAACATGAGTGTAAAAAATGCACTCATATGGACGCATATAACACGTGTGTAAAATACACTCATATGGATGCGTATAACACGCACAAAATTGCATTCATATGGATGCATATGAAATGTTAGATATATGGACGCATATGAAAAAATACATATAAAACATGTGTAAAATGCATGCATGCTGATGCAAATTACATACGTATTATATGAATTCGTATGTGTGCATATACCACAAGTGTCATATCATATGGATACATAGAACACACATGCTTTATGAATGCATGTGGATACAACACACATGTGGAGAATCACAGATAAATAATATACACTGTTATCACCTCATTTTTATTATATTTAATCTTGTTGGGTTGCTGAAATAAAGATAATAGAAAAAGAGATTTAAGGCCATATACATGCAAATAATATACACAGCAGTTGAGCGGGCCACCGAGGGCCTTGCAGGCCCCTCTAACACCTCAGGGGCAACCTGACCGTTCTCTCTTGGCGGCCCTGCACTAATAAGATTGATGCAGTCAAGCACTACTGCACCAATTTTGAAATGCAAGACTTAACGATAAAAGCTGGTCAACAACTGGACTTCTCTGCCACAGAATTAATGAAAAATGACAACTCACAAAAATATCACCTACTGCACAGGCAGGGGCGGATCCAGTAGGGGCCACGGGGGCATGTGCCACCCCCCCCCCATTTTGCCACTAAATTCTAAAATTTCAAGGCATATATTACTTATCTATTCTAAATATGTTGTTCCCCACACCCCACCCCCTTGAAAAATTCTGGATCCACCCCCTGTGTAGAGTAATAGTTGGGTATCACAGAAGGGATGTTACAGTAGAGGAATATTACAATAGAGGAAAACTTACAAGGGATGTAAAAGAATTGATTTAATTTCATATTTTCATATCAAAGTGCTTATTTCAATTACTGTATAACTAGGTAATATTAAAATTCTATAATTCAAGGTATACTGTCTGTAAGAAAAATAGAAAAATCTTTAAAAAAAAATCAATAAAAAAATTGTATAGCCTATTTAAAACAATACAATTGTGGTTAATTTTGAACAAAACATATTTTTTTTTAATTACTGATTTACTACAAAAATTCCTTTCATGACCAGCCATTTTAAGGGTGTAGACAAAAGCATTAAAACCGCATTTATGTTATGTTTTTTAAGCTTAGCACAGACAATATATCTTAAAAAATATCAAACATTAAAAAATATTTCATTTTTGTAGATATTATGACAACATTATATTCAGGTAATGTTTAAAAATATTGGGTGACATTTTATTTCAAATAAAACTTCATTGCAAACGTATTTTACCTCACACGGCTGCGGTGCACTCCTGTAGCTAGGGACGATCTTGAAAGTTATACTACCACGTAAATCTCTAAGCATGCATTGAAGTTGGTCGACTGTCTGATTGGCCACGCTGACACCGTTGATTTCACGTATCTCATCCCCGACGTGAAGCGTGGCCTGTCTATGAATCATTCCACCGTGCATTATACGTGCAACGAGGCACCTCTTATCTTCACTCATCTTCAATGTAATACCCTAAAATGTTAGAAAACAAAAAAAATTATTTAATCTTTTCAACCATATCGATGGAATACAAACAGAAGTATCAATTCCTTAATTGGATTTCACTTGGAAGAATCAACATCAAAGATAATTGTAGTCACCGAAGGTAGCTAGTTTAGTACCTTCACTAGGGATGTTGGACCTAGGTCAACATCCCGTAATAGTGTCTTTGTTTCAAGTGTTAAAGTTGAAATGTTGAAAGCTACCTTGGTGTGAGTAGGTTTATTACAAACCACAGGATTGTGGAAACAGTAATATGATAACAACATAATGTGGGAATGACAAAGTAACTTTAAAATCATATAGAAAATGAGAATATCAGATCAGATTTTAATGTGGTAACATGCTCAATCCAAGCAAGTCACATGATAGCTCAGGATCTTTAGATTCTAATAAGCATGAAAGGATTGCAAGCACGGCAAAAAAATTGTGATGATGTCAACATGAGACTAAATATAAATTTGGTCACATGTTCAATCATAGCCAATTATGTGACCGCTCAGGATGTTTCTATTTTTAAAGGCATAGAAGGATTGTAACCTCAGTAAAATGAAGACATGAATATATGGTGAGAATGCTATGTCAACTACATCGAGAATATCAGACATGGGCCTTCAATTAGATTAACTGACTAACAACTTCGACCCAGCAGGCATTCGACTCTCTCCACTTGAGACAACCAGGCAAGCTCTCTCCCAATGATTTTTTTGACGCAGGAAATTTAAACAGTTTTTAACTATTATTTCTTGAAAATACTAATATAAGTATTTGCAGAGTATTTCTATTCAAAGTCACCAGCGATTCTTTAGGAAATATTTGTGAATATGTAATGAGAATAGAATTCACAGTTTAAATGTATCAGTAGATGTAATTCACTGACGAAACATTTTGTGGAATATTTATAATATGCATAGAACCATATACATAGATTCCCAGTAGGGGCATTTTGTAGATATTTAGTTGATAATTAAAGTAATTATAAAATTTAAAAATGTTATTACATAATATATTATCAAGGAGGTGGTAATTTTGTAGATTATTTCATTATCAATTAATGGTATAATATCTAAAGAATATAATATATTTATATAATTAATAAATTTTATTCTATAAGTTTTATCAAAAATCCTTAAAATAGTTGACAGACTAGATTACTTAAATATTAATTAATGTTTGGTTATCTACACAATATAAATATAATTATATTGATATTTATTATTTAATATATTATCTGTTCTATCAGTTAAATTATGGAATGAAAAGAATCCTTTGTCAAAGATGTGGCACTCTAGTTTCTTGTAGGCAGCGCTGTGGCATCTGTATCTACTCTTAATTTTAAGAGTCAGGGTTAAGTTACGCTTGAGTAAACACACCTCAATAATCTTGCGTTCTTTAAAGCCTGATAAGATCACAAGAGGTCAGAGGCCATGTGGATGGTTGAAACCAACACCAGACATCAGTTTTAACTATGCTAAATTAGGAGAGGGAAAGTTTGTGAGAACAGCCCAATGAAAGAAAGTTGCTATAATGCTCATTTGTCTAGTTTTACGTCTGATACAAACCACATATGAAATGTATACAAGAAAATGTCTCTCTCATGTTTTGTAGCTAAGACATTTGATATTTGTTATGTTACTTTCATCTAGCAAAAATGAAAATTACAATTGACTACTTTTGAAAATATGACTGTCATCCGAACAACTTCCTTCCTAGCAAGACAACATGAAAACCGACAAGTAGTGTGTTACACGATGACCAGCATAGCACAATCAATTGAAATACATTTGGAATAACACATATTCCGCACACCTCATGTTAATCTATTTTTAATTTGATTGGTAATTATGACTTATGGACTTAAAAAGCTTCATTTAAGAACACATACTGACATAATAATACCTCTTTGCGTTAATGATACGGTACTTGTATTACGGTTAAATGCGATTGGAATTTCAATGCAAGATCATATTAAATGTGCACGTATACTCTATATCTGTTTGAATATTATTTTTTATGCCATTACATTTAATTTGTAAATCATATGATCTTTTTGCTTTGGAAACAAAATTGTATGCTATTCATTGCCATTGGTTTTTGCTGGAATAAGCTTAATACTGTGTTGAAATAATGCTGATTATAATTCTGAATAGATCTTTTTCATTAATAATATTTTCCAAATGTATATTTAATACTAATTTACGCTTACAGTACTTTACCTTTAAGCAGTAATTGTTTGAAAGGATTTAAAAACAAATACCTTTTGAAACTAATGAATACTTTGTATGTTCAGAAATCGTACACTAGTTAAGGTGGATATTTTGTTATACTGTATATTATTATATTGTTTGTTTATTGTATTTTTCCAAACACAAATAACAATCAGGTAAATAACTTAAATTAGAATGATAGAATTCTAGTCAATAAATTAGGAGCAACGCAAGATAAGATGGACAACAAAATAAGTTTGAAAACAAATTTTAAGGCTTGACCACCAGTTAAAATCAAAATGAAATGAAGAACACTATAGAGGATCAAATAGCTACATTATTATAAATAAATAAGAAGATATAAAAGAAAGATATATTGGGGTTTGTATGTACAATAATTACAAAAAAATATGCCATGGATACATGCGTGCCTATTCACCTTTTTGCATGGGATGAGTGCCTATGTCCATGCAATAATGTAAAGGTTACCATAACATATACAAATGTTAGCTCAGAAATTCTTCAATGCATTTACACTGTCTGATCAATGGTAACACACAACCTTTCACTATTCTCATCCCATAAGAATCAACTTTCTTTGACAAACTGATTCATGGATTCTTTTACAGACAAAGCATAAATCTTTTACTGGTACCGTATTACCGTTAGCAGGAATGATATATGTACCGACAGAAGTACAGAAGGCTAATTTATACAAAATTGAGCGGCTTGAAAATTGATATATGCTTCTAATAACATGCTCTTTTTTGCCGCTACTTGTAAGAGTAAAACACAGCGATTACAGAAATATTTAAAACATGCAATGAAATGCTAATTTACTAGAAAGATCGCTTTTAGGATTGAAGCGGATTTTAGAATTCAATGAATTTTGTAAATAGCATTCAGTTGTTTGGTCATTGTTTGTGCACAGGTCTCTCTACATGATATACAGTCTACTAACGCCAACATATGTAAATGGCTGCCGAATGTCTGTAATGAGACGGCTTCAACTACCAGTACCAGTAATAAATAATAAGCAAGAATGTTGAAAGTAAATTGTATATAAAAAGATAAATTTTTTTAATCTCATAATTTTTAATATCATAACATAACTTGATTATAACCAATATTTTTAACAAAAAATTATCGCAACATACCATTGGTTCCTCTGTGTTCCTCTGAAACTGTACCAACCGGACCCTCGTCACGTTCTCCATGTTCTGAATCTCACCGTTAGGAGGCTGCTGTGAATTTGGATCCTGTCCGTTGATTAAGAAAGGTGAAGTTGGGGGCGGTGTTACTCGGATTGCGTCGTTACTATATACCTCATGCGCTACAACATCATGTGTTTGCAGTAATGCCTGTGAAAGATGAAATGATAGCGTTAATTAACAGGCTCTCGCTTCCTGCGCGTATTTAACACATCACGTTTGGAATTCTCCAATGAGTGCTCTGCATTTATAAGTACCTACAAATAAGCAAACCAGTCACGGCAACGTACATCACACACAACAGAATGAATTTGTTCTTTGTTCAATTCTGTAATTAGTATTATTTCTTCAGAAGGTGAGCAGGCTGTTCTTGGAAAAAAAGAAACTTCAATATCCAACTTAAATCTGATTCAATATACTGTAAGATTAAACTTCAATTATTATGTGATATTATTTTAAAATTTTTCCTTTGAAAATCTTCACCATTTCTGATAAATGTTGACAAAAAGGAACACAAAAAGGAATGTTCAGGAAAAAATATAAATGTAAAGTAATATATATGGTACAACAATCATTAATGACAATATAAATAATAATAATAACAATGACAATGAACCAATGAAGATGATAATGATGATAATGATGATGATGACATGATGTTGATGTCATGACTATGATAATGATTATGATGAAGACAATGTCATGGTTATAATGACAATGTCATGATGATGGTGATAATGACAATGAATATGTAATGATGTGATAATTATGATGATGAGGATGATTACGATGATAATGACATAATTATAGAACAAAATATGTCCACATCCACATCATTCTGAAAATCTTCCACCACATTTGGTTTAAGCTGAACACAACAATTGATAAGAATGTCAGAAAGAATGGAAGATAAACATAAATTAGGAAAATTGCCAATTATGATACAGTAGCTGAAGACAAGATAAAAGAAACCACTGCTTCTGCTTATCTGTATACATTAGAGAGCACTCCTTGTACAGGGATAGCTCCCTAGTCAGTTGTAATTCAGTTTTATCACCTAGGTTTTAACTGCCTGTCCATTCTATTGCTATTGTCAATGAAAGATTTAAATCATAATATTATACAAATGAATTTTTCATAGATCTATTGAGACCTAATGATGATATTAATATAAATTGAGCATTAAAGAAAAAGATTTTTTTTTCTCAGTAATTCAAGAAATTGGAGAATCTTTGAGTATATTTCTCCAATTTTCTAGGCTACAGCTACAGATTATGTTTGTTCCAGCATCACTAGGTGTCCACAAAAACGCAGGATTGGTTCAAGCATTAAATAGCATCGTAGTAGCTGGTCATTAGCTATCTTAAAAGGACTAATCCTGCACTTTCATCTAGGCCGCAAAAACTCAGAATTATAATTCAATGCCTTGAAAACCACTAGAAGTACCAATTTTGAGCCTTACTATGTTTGTGCCATGGGTATACACTATAACATGTTTTCTCACAACTTACAAAAATAGGCTCCCAGCAGGAGCATGTGTCTACTGCCTTATACATAAGTTGTTTTTTTTTTTATTGTATCTTATGTTCTTCAATATGCAGATGTGTGTATTATTGTAGTGTATCTGGAGTTTTCATGAAAATTTTCGTTCATAACAATATTCTGTATAGGCCTACTACTATATTACACTAAAAACACTTTAAAAATGAGTAACTTTGGGAGTTACCACGTCATGTTGCTGATCACGAAGAGTAATACCATGTTTTAGAGGGCGTTCTTCTAATGACGGTAAAAGGCATTCGTGGCGAACGTGTGCTGCGTCTCTATAATGCGTGTTCGAGTTTTGAATGCAATTTTGTTCGAGTTCCGAACGCTATTCGATTGTCAATAGAGCACCCCCTACCTCGTGGTAGTTGTACCCATCATGCCTAAACCGGATTTACCCTTTTCCGCCATCTTTAATTGCTACATCATGACATAGTGTCTACGCTCACGTTGGGGGCAGTAGACACAAAAACTATCTATGATGGTATTCTGAAACGAAAATGGAATTTTTAAGGTGCATTCATTGTTTTAAAAAAAATAAGTAAACTAACTGAAATAAATTGCATTATTCATGAATAGCACAAAATATATATATATATATATGCCCCCACCTCCTCCCCCTTTTCCGTTAACACAAACTTGGGCCAATTTTGGGGATGGGCTTATACCTTGGGAATCTCCTTTTCACAAGAAAATTGACAATCCTTTTATTAAACTGGTAGCATGTCCAATTATTTTCAGGAATGCCAACCAAAAGGCAAATTTTCAGCATCCCAATTCCAAAGCAAACTCTTTAATTTTTTTTTTCAGAAGGTATTTGTGAGTTAGCTGAGCTACTCATTGAAATCATAACCTGGGCTCTTGCCAAAAAAATAGGCTTGTATGTAAAATTTGGAGTAATGCAGGGGGTGGACTTATACTCAAAGGGGGATAATACTCGAGAAAATACAGTATTAAACTAAACTGGTATAAAAATTTGATGAAGTATGATTAATGATTATAAATTATTCACCAAAGTGTGCGGTGGTTCTCTCAGTTACGATAATTACCTCATTATCAATTACAACTGAAATTTTTGATGCATTATGCTACGATATTTGCAACGATTCCTTTTGAATTCTGTTGCACAAGTTTTAAAATCATACACCTAGAGCCACAGAGGCCTTCTATAGCAACCACATGGGTCTCGTAAGTCTTGTTGAAAACATTACACAATCACTCCAGAGTCCTCTCAAATAGACCTAAAAAAACATATCCTCGGTTTTAACCACTTAGAATTTTAACGCATTTTACCGTCATTCGCGAGTCACAACCACTTTAAGTTTATTTGACAACTCAGAATTTATTCAAGTTTACATTTTATGTGAGATTTTTTTTTATCTTCTTGTATACTACTGCCTAAGCTTGCAAGTTAGAATTACTGTAATGTCGTAACATGGCATTGACACGCTTAATATAGCTTTTAAAAAATCGGTGGGCCTATGATGCAAATCACTTTGAAATCCAATGCCTCGTAAAGGAACTCTAAATGTATTAGCCTATTAGGAGGAATACACTTGTAAGCAAGTGTAAAATATGTAACCTCTAGTTGAGCATGTAGTCTGAATACATACAACATTGAAAGTTCAGAATAATTGTGGCAAAGACAAGCCAACCGGTCACTCCTCGCAAAAATCAATTTTTAGTTATTAATACAGGGTTAAAAAGTAAAACAAGAGTTTAAAAATGGTAAAAGAATCATTCAAATCCGACATTGCGTTATTAAGTTACAAGAGTTTAAACTTACAGCTGTTTAGAGAACAATATTTGAGAAATCAACCTTTTTCTGCATTTCTCGAGCAGAGATCATCATCAAGTCGTTACAAAATGTTATTTTAACATTGAAAATGGGGAAAATAACAGCATAGCATGATGTATTATAGATATATAAAGGTAGCGTAGTGCAATAAAATAGATTTCAAAAATGTTGACATTCCAGCATGTTTTTGCCATTATCTCTGAAACACAATTTGCGACAAGTGACTAGTTTTTTCTTTGCCACAAATGTTTATATTCTGTGGGCTACACCAATCACAAAGCAGTGGCAGATTTACACACCTAGATGTGTAGGGCCCCTCTAAATTTGTTGAAAATAGGGGAAAAAAAACAACCAGAAAATTATATTCAAATTAAAGTTTTGGTGTAACATTTCTGGCCAATTAGAGGTGCCGTATAGCCATAAAGTTTCATGATGGGATTGTATAGGCCCTTGATTTGTAAAAGTCCCTTGCTGGGCCCTTGTACATTGAATTCTAGGAACAGCCACTGCAAAGACCAGACAAGTGTGGCAAAAAAACATTCATTAAGTCGGCACTAGAAATCTGCACATCATTAACATATTACATGAATCGTTAAATTTATCCGATATTCCACAACTGTGTGGTATTCAAATAATGACGTATATAACCTGGTATTAATAATTCTATATCCCACCTGTGAATGAGTATAAAGATATTGTTATCTAAAAATAATCACTGCAAGGAGTGTAGTCCACAACTTACCACAACAAAGCTATCACAGCATTCACTAACAGCTTAACATATTAAAACCAGTTGAATCAACTTTGGTCCTGATCAATATTTTACCTGAGTGAATTTCACCAATTCTATAAGAGGAGGCCTGTTTGTATTTCACCAATTCTATAGAAGACTTGTTTGTATTGTACAGGTGTCAGCTTAATCACCGGCTAAAAGGTGTAATCCGTATCTTTGGCAAAGTTTACCTGTATCATCTCCTTGGGTTTTAATGCATACTTATACAGCCTAGATGCTCACATCATTAACCCCAATTATTGCACCAGTGTACACAAAGGCATTGGTGTATTAAGTGAGTATGGTAGATTAGCAAGGGGTATGCAGAGTAAACTGTTCTATACATCAAAAGTATGGGTCATAAAGCATCAATTATATCACAGTTAGTAAATGAACTATTATTCCAAAGTATTTATAACAGGTAATATGCCTCTTCTGATTGAGCATGGCTATGAGATGACCTGGAAAGAATACAAGGCAGGGGGCGTATGTAAGAGTATTCACAGGAGCAGTTGATTGAAGAGGGGAAAAAAGTTGGGGGCTTAAAGATTAAATAGGGAAAACCCAGCTGCCTAAAAAAAGAGTAAAATGAGGTGATTTTTAAGTACTTGTGCCTCTAACAATCCTGCAAGCAAGCAAGAACCTCCTGGAAAAATCAATCTTCCGCAAATTCATGTATTCACTATTATTGTGTATCACAATGTGCAACAAAATAAAATTAAATGTGTTAGAAAGCTCATTAACAAGATCAGTGCTGGATTCAATTCAAGTCTGAGAGTGGCGTTTCCAGCCATCTAGAGGTGCCATAATCATACATTTTCTTACCTCAGCCCAAACCATGGTGGGCCTGAGGTGGTCTACATCATCCATCTATATGAAAATCCCTCCCTAGGCCCACATTATTATGACTTCTTGGATCGACCTCCTGCTAGCCTCCTGGACTTGATTTCTTTCAACTTGGGACCCCTAAAATTGTATCATCTTAAGATGTAAGGCATACTGACACCTTGAATTGGCAGTAAACCTACAACATTC